CCCTGTTTTAAGACCTATTTTTACGGGAAAGTATTCTCCCTCTCTTTACACCCCCTAACCTGAGCCCCCCTATCCTCAAAAAGCTCTTTCACATTTAGTAACTTACCCCCTTTTCCTTATATTTGCAAAACTCCCACATTGCTCCTCTATCCACTCTATCTTATGCCTTTTCTAATCCTAAATGCAATAAAAATTTCCTACCTTTTCTAAATACTGTTCAATTTGTTTCAATGAAAAACACTTGTCTACACATCCCCCCCCCACCTGAGCCTCCTTGCTCGTCCGCAATTCTACATTCTGTCTTTCCTTAATTTTTAAATTATAACCCTACCGTTTTCTTTTCCTGGTATACTCGTAAATTTATTCCTTTTTTATTTTTACAATTCTTTTGTCCCTTTCCCTTTATATAAAGGGACTATACTGCCTCCACCAATCCCTGGGTCCCTTCCCCCTCTTTTATTTTTATTAAACAAAATTTACCAACCACTCCAACATATACCCCCCCTGTTTAACTTTTGTCTGTCCCATCATTCCAGCTGCTTTACCCCTTTCTTTCTACGAATGCCTCACTCCCTCCCCACACTTACTTTTCTGTCTTTTCACCCCTAAAAGTGGTATCCCCCCGGGCCCAGTGCATGAAATTCCCCGCTCCCTTTCTTCCTAACTTTAAAAGTCCTCAAAATATTCTTGCCATCTACCAAATCCCTCCCTTTCCCCATTACTTTCCCCTACCGGTTTTTAATGAAAAATCCATATTTTCCCCTGGTTTTTTTAACTTTTTTAACTCACTCCAAATTTTTTTTTTTTCTTAAAATTTTTTGACAGTGCCTCTCCCTCTATCACTGCTCTCCTTTTGCACCTCTCCCCACTCTCTTTCACTTTCTTTTACTTCCCCATTCTTGCTTTTCTTATCACTTCTGCTTTGAAAAAAAACCTTCATAAGCTCCCTTTTTCTTTTTACACCCCCCTTTACTTCATCTTTCCCAATCACTCCTTTTTCCCTCCTGCCCCCACCCCAAAACCCACAAACTTTGCCCCACATTCAAATACTGTTTTTTAAAACTATTCAACCCCTTCAACCCCCATACTTATCTTTGCACTAGCACCTTTCTCCCAAATAGTCGCTTATATCTCCCCCGAACTTCCTCCTCCCTTATTTTATACATTTCACCTCCCTCACCCACAACAGTATATACAATTCCCACCCGACTTACGACCAAAGCTTGGTTTGCCAACCGGTATAAAGTCAAAAGGGACGGAAAGTCAAACCTTTGAAAAATTGCCGACATCTGGTAGGGCAAAATGTCAAAATTTTCCCTATATAAACTACTAAAAACCCTTTCAAAATACTGTAATTAATGTAAAATATTTTTCTTTCTTTTTACCGTAATTTACTTCTATTGTTATTTTTTAAATTTTTACGTACTGTATAAATTATACAGGTAGTAAACTTATTGCAAATTTTACATCACATACGTATATATTACTTTATTTTATGTTTTTGGTCGACCAGTGGAAGGGAGAATACCACTGGTAGGTCACCCTGCCAGATGTTGTAAACCCTTCCCCTAAGAAAAGAGAAAAAAACTCGGGAAATGTGTTTTTGAAAACCGGTGGCTGGCGGGTGGGTGGCGGGGGGTTTGGGGCGACGGCGATAAAATGTGGCTGTCTCCTTTCTCTTATCTCTCTCTTTCTCTCTCTCGCTTCAAGGGCCCTTTAAGTGAGTTTCATAAAAGTATAAATTTCCAGGTAACCCAAAAACCAGACAAGTGCTATACAGTGGTCTGTGCTCCAGTCCCCAAATTAAAAATAAATATTATTATTATTTTATTATTACAAAATACATTGTATAATATTAATAAAATTATTATTTAAAATATAATATAAAAATCGGTCCCCCTCATTACTTACCTTAAAATTTTTTTTAATGTAGAGCGAGAGGTGGTTTAAAAAAGTTAAATGAATAAAGAGAGAGAGAATTATTTTGTGAAGGTTTACGAGTTTTGTAAAAAAAACTTTTTTGTTGTTACCGCCTGGACCGAATGGTTTTTGTTCTTCTGTCAAGCCGACCGAAAAAAAACTCATATTTTTTAATTATATGTTTAATTGTTTCGTGCTTTTTTATTTTATAATTTGAAAAAATATAGATGGATTAAACAAAATTCTATATTAAAGTTTTAAAACATTTAAGGCCTCAGTGTTATTATTTCTTATTAATATGGGGGTCTTCAAAACCAAATTTCAAATTTATGAGTGGCTTGAACGACAAGCAACAAAAGATAACACGGTAGACAGACACACAGGTAGAATAAAGACACACACAGGGGACATAAAAAACACACCAGGTAACATAAAAGACACACAAGGTAGAATAAAGACAGAACCAGGTGAAAAACACACACACAGGTAGACAGAAAGAAACCCAGGTAGCAAAGACAACCCAGGTAACAGAAAGAAAACACAGGTAAAACAGAAAGACAGATAAACAGACACACAAGATCAGACAGACCGAAAAACAGGAGAAATACAGACAGGTTTATGTTTAACAGGGGAAAACAAATAAGAGTTTGGAGTAAAGCCTTTTTTGCCCAACCTCCAGTGCAAAAATTCAACTTCATCTTTTGGGGCCATGGGGAAATTTATGTCCATTTTTTACAGTTAAGCAGTTGATGCTTTTTTTTGGCGGGTTACCAAATGATGCTCTGCATGATCATTTCCCTGGCAAGTTCGCAAATTTGTACGCGGTGTGCATCAGCGGCCCCGCCAGCTGCCCAAAAGCATGGGTGTAAGTCGAGTGGACGTATGTCAGCAGGGGGGAAGTGGTGGTGGTGTACTTACATAGTGCAGGCATCAGGGACTTTTAAAAACATAAGTCCCTCTACTCTGGCAATGTAATCTCTTGGGCACATTAAATGTTGTAATTTTCGTTTTAATAAGAATTGCCCATTAATCCTTTTATTATTTTTTCAAACTATATAATAATGTACTAAAAAATAAACATTATAAATACCCCCCACGTAAAAAAAATTAAAAAATTGGAAGTGGTTGTGGAAAATTGGAAATATTCCCAAATTTTTGGGGTTTGTGTGGGGGGTAAAGGGCAAGATATTTTTCAAATGTCAAAAAATTAGCAAATTTATTACCGATAAAAACACGATTACATACCTCCGTGAGAACATGCACTAGCATTCTTTTTTTAAATACCAAGTCCCAAACCCCCCTTTTGTTGTGGGCCCTTTGGCCGGGGCCTTGCCAAAAGCCCTTTTTAGAATATTTTTTTTTTCATTTTTTTTTGTTTTGGGCGGCGTATCTGAAGCTTGCTTGTAACTTGGATTTTTGGGACAATCAAAACAAAAAACAACCAAGCGTGGCTCTAACCCGAAAAACTTGAAAAAATTGGGGGACTGGGGAAATCAAGGTTTCCATGTAATCCTTTTTTATAGAATGGGAAACAACCCCCCAGGGGGGTACATACTACCATCCTGGGGCCCAAAAGAGTGCAAAAAAAAAAGCCTTTTATTGTTTTACAATACGTAGGATTTCTGGGGTCTTTTTTTCTTTCATACACATGCAAAATTTCAGGTATGTCTTGTACTTCTACTTAACTTAGGTCACATACACATACTGTACGCATATATTACACCCCCTCTGGGTTTTCTTTTTATTTTCTTTTATTTTGTTCTTGTTTTTTTCCTCTTACCTCCATGGGGAAAATGGAACAAATTCTTCCTTTGTAAGCCCACTGGGGTAAGAGGCGACTAAAAAAAGCGGGAGCAAGGGGCTAGTAACCCCTTTCCCGATTATTTCAAATTTAAAAAAAAGAAATTTCATTTTTTTTTTTGGGCCACCCTGCCTGTGGGATACTGCCCGGGTTTTTGAAAGAAGAAGAAGGTTTTCTGGGGTTTTTTTCTGTCTCTTAAACATACAAGATTTCAGGTAACTGCCTTTTTTACTTCGCTTTGGGCACATAACTGCATATACAAGCATATATATACACACCTCTCTGGGTTTTCTTCTATTTTCTTACTGGTTCTTATTCTTGTTTATTTCCTCTTATCTCCATGGGAAGTGGAACATAATTCTTCCTCCGTAAGTCATGCGTGTCCTAAGAGGCGACTAAAATGCCAGGAGCAAGGGGCTAGTAACCCCTTCTATTTACATTACTGAAGTTAAAAAAAAAACTTTTGTTTTTCTTTTTGGGCCACCCCACCTCGGTGGGATACACCTGGTGCATTGAAAGAAGGATTTACTAAATGTAAAAAAAAGAAAAACTTTGTTCTTTTTCGTGTCACTCTGCCTTGGTGGAAGACGGCCAATGAATTATAATAAAAATAATAATAAGAACCTCACTGCCTGTAACCAACTATCTTACAGTTTAGTCTTTCAATCAAACTGTCACTACTAAGCCCCTCTTACACTCAACTCCTCTACTGAGCTATTCTACACAGTGCGATTTTTTTTTTTTGGTAAATGCATTAAAAAATGCATACAAATATTAATAAGAGTGTATTATGAAGGCCTTTACACATGTTATTCAATTTTGGATGCAGTTTCAATTGCATTTACACAACTGTACAATACAGTGACCTTCTAAGAGAGATGACTGTACAGGAGGGCCCCACTTATACAGCAGGTTAGGTTCCAGGCTACTGCTGTATAGCTAAAATTGCTGTAAAGTGAAACGTAGCCTTTTTTTTCATTTTCAAATGCATATAAAAACGTGACATGTTTACACTATTATATATTAAGTGAACAATAGAGCTAGGCCTAAAGAATACATATACGGTACACACATTACTTACCTTAAAATATTTTCATTCATAGCTTAGAGTGAGTGGTGAACATATTTATTGTAGGAAGTCTGAATAAATGAAGAATGACTGTAACTGACAACGGCTGTGTTAGCGAAGCACTGTAAAGCGAGGCCTGCCTGTATATGAAAGTTCTGAGGTTGCCCCTGCTGCTTTCTCTGCTCAGGAACCTTAAAGTAAGCAAAATACCTGCTTGTTCTGGAGCGGGGTGTGGACGGCTGGTCCAGAGGAGAAGCAGTAAACAGGCGTGCGGCGTCCTGGCTGTCGTCCGATGCCTGAGTGGCCTCGCTGCTGTCGTTCCCTCTGCAACACATGAGTCTCGGGGTTAGCTGTTTAAAGCACAACCAAACTGACAGCAGCGTCTCTCGGCCAAAGATGTCACGGCAGTCCGAGTTGCAGAAGCATCGTACAGAAATAAACAAAGTCACAATACCATGACTGGAACAATTCACCAAAATCTTGAGCTTAGGAAAGGGTCATATGGATGACATTTCAGTCTATCCTGAACCACTGTCAGTACTGTAATGATACTCTTCCATCTGACTGAGAGTCAAAATAATGATTGCACATATTCACACAACACAAGGTGCCAAGTCAGCAATCTCAACTCTTCTTTTCCTCTCCAATCAACACCAAAATACAATTATTATTATTATTATTATTTTAACACACTGGTCATCTCATACCAAGGCAGGATGACCCAAAAAAGAAGAAACAAAAGTTTTTCTTTTTACATTTAGTATTTTCTACAGGAGAGAGTGTTACTGGCACCTTCCTCCTGGCATTTTAGTCGCCTCTTTCGACACACAAGGCTTACATTATAATTATTATAATCATGGGGGAGCGCTAAACCCGTAGGATTATACAGCGCACGTGGAGAGGGGGTGGAAGGTATTCAGACTCTATTCAGGGACCTGGAGCACAGATCCAATTCCCTAGATCAAGAGCCCCTCACCAGCAACAAGGAACCTCCCTTGAGGTGACAAGGCTCACAGACGAAGGATTTTTCTCCACTTTCCATGGAGTATTATCATCATAGTAATAAGCAAAAATCTTATTCTTATATCAATAGTATTCGATATAGGTATTATATATATTGTATACATGTAGCTGAACACACACCAAGCTTGAGGGACTGACTACATCAAACTTACCAGTACAACTTCAAGCTTGAGGGACTGACTACATCAAACTTACCAGTACAACTTCAAGCTTGAGGGACTGACTACATCAAACTTACCATACAACTTCAAGCTTGAGGGACTGACTACATCAAACTTACCAGTACAACTTCAAGCTTGAGGGACTGACTACATCAAACTTACCAGTACAACTTCAAGCTTGAGGGACTGACTACATCAAACTTACCAGTACAACTTCAAGCTTGAGGGACTGACTACATCAAACTTACAGTACAACTTCAAGCTTGAGGGACTGACTACATCAAACTTACCAGTACAACTTCAAGCTTGAGGGACTGACTACATCAAACTTACCAGTACAACTTCAAGCTTGAGGGACTGACTACATCAAACTTACCAGTACAACTTCAAGCTTGAGGGACTGACTACATCAAACTTACCAGTACAACTTCAAGCTTGAGGGACTGACTACATCAAACTTACCAGTACAACTTCAAGCTTGAGGGACTGACTACATCAAACTTACCAGTACAACTTCAAGCTTGAGGGACTGACTACATCAAACTTACCAGTACAACTTCAAGCTTGAGGGACTGACTACATCAAACTTACCAGTACAACTTCAAGCTTGAGGGACTGACTACATCAAACTTACCAGTACAACTTCAAGCTTGAGGGACTGACTACATCAAACTTACCAGTACAACTTCAAGCTTGAGGGACTGACTACATCAAACTTACCAGTACAACTTCAAGCTTAGGGACTGACTACATCAAACTTACCAGTACAACTTCAAGCTTGAGGGACTGACTACATCAAACTTACCAGTACAACTTCAAGCTTGAGGGACTGACTACATCAAACTACCAGTACAACTTCAAGCTTGAGGGACTGACTACATCAAACTTACCAGTACAACTTCAAGCTTGAGGGACTGACTACATCAAACTCACTACTACAACTTCAAGCTTGAGGGACTGACTACATCAAACTCACTACTACAACTTCAAGCTTGAGGGACTGACTACATCAAACTCACTACTACAACTTCAAGCTTGAGGGACTGACTACATCAAACTCACTACTACAACTTCAAGCTTGAGGGACTGACTACATCAAACTCACTACTACAACTTCAAGCTTGAGGGACTGACTACATCAAACTCACTACTACAACTTCAAGCTTGAGGGACTGACTACATCAAACTACTACTACAACTTCAAGCTTGAGGGACTGACTACATCAAACTCACTACTACAACTTCAAGCTTGAGGGACTGACTACATCAAACTCACTACTACAACTTCAAGCTTGAGGGACTGACTACATCAAACTTACTACTACAACTTAAGCTTGAGGGACTGACTACATCAAACTACACTACAACTTCAAGCTTGAGGGACTGACTACATCAAACTCACTACTACAACTTCAAGCTTGAGGGACTGACTACATCAAACTTACTACTACAACTTTAAGCTTGAGGGACTGACTACATCAAACTTACCAGTACAACTTCAAGCTTGAGAGACTGACTACATCAAACTCACTACTACAACTTCAAGCTTGAGGGACTGACTACATCAAACTCACTACTACAACTTCAAGCTTGAGGGACTGACTACATCAAACTCACTACTACAACTTCAAGCTTGAGGGACTGACTACATCAAACTACTACTACTAACTTAAGCTTGAGGGACTGACTACATCAAACTCACTACTACAACTTCAAGCTTGAGGGACTGACTACATCAAACTCACTACTACAACTTTAAGCTTGAGGGACTGACTACATCAAACTCACTACTACTACTTTAAGCTTGAGGGACTGACTACATCAAACTCACTACTACAACTTCAAGCTTGAGGGACTGACTACATCAAACTCACTACTACAACTTCAAGCTTGAGGGACTGACTACATCAAACTCACTACTACAACTTTAAGCTTGAGGGACTGACTACATCAAACTCACTACTACAACTTCAAGCTTGAGGGACTGACTACATCAAACTCACTACTACAACTTTAAGCTTGAGGGACTGACTACATCAAACTTACTACTACAACTTTAAGCTTGAGAGACTGACTACATCAAACTCACTACTACAACTTCAAGCTTGAGGGACTGACTACATCAAACTTACTACTACAACTTTAAGCTTGAGGGACTGACTACATCAAACTTACTACTACAACTTTAAGCTTGAGGGACTGACTACATCAAACTTACTACTACAACTTCAAGCTTGAGGGACTGACTACATCAAACTCACTACTACAACTTCAAGCTTGAGGGACTGACTACATCAAGCTTACCAGTACAACTTAAAGCTTGAGGGACTGACTACATCAAACTTACTACTACAACTTTAAGCTTGAGGGACTGACTACATCAAACTTACTACTACAACTTTAAGCTTGAGGGACTGACTACATCAAACTTACTACTACAACTTCAAGCTTGAGGGACTGACTACATCAAACTTACTACTACAACTTCAAGCTTGAGGGACTGACTACATCAAACTTACTACTACAACTTTAAGCTTGAGGGACTGACTACATCAAACTTACTACTACAACTTCAAGCTTGAGAGACTGACTACATCAAACTTACTACTACAACTTCAAGCTTGAGAGACTGACTACATCAAACTCACTACTACAACTTCAAGCTTGAGGACTGACTACATCAAACTCACTACTACAAGCTTCAAGCTTGAGAGACTGACACATCAAACTACTACTACAACTTCAAGCTAGGCTGACTACACAAACTCACTACAAACTCAAGCTTGAGAGACTGACTACATCAAACTCACTACTACAGCTTCAAGCTTGAGAGACTGACTACATCAAACTCACTACTACAGCTTCAAGCTTGAGAGACTGACTACATCAAACTCACTACTACAACTTCAAGCTTGAGAGACTGACTACATCAAACTCACTACTACAACTTCAAGCTTGAGGGACTGACTACATCAAACTCACTACTACAACTTCAAGCTTGAGGACTGACTACATCAAACTCACTACTACAACTTCAAGCTTGAGGGACTGACTACATCAAACTCACTACTACAACTTCAAGCTTGAGAGACTGACTACATCAAACTTACTACTACAACTTTAAGCTTGAGAGACTGACTACATCAAACTCACTACTACAACTTCAAGCTTGAGGACTGACTACATCAAACTTACTACTACAACTTCAAGCTTGAGAGACTGACTACATCAAACTCACTACTACAACTTCAAGCTTGAGGGACTGACTACATCAAACTTACTACTACAACTTCAAGCTTGAGGGACTGACTACATCAAACTCACTACTACAACTTCAAGCTTGAGGGACTGACTACATCAAACTCACTACTACAACTTCAAGCTTGAGGGACTGACTACATCAAACTCACTACTACAACTTCAAGCTTGAGGGACTGACTACATCAAACTCACTACTACAACTTCAAGCTTGAGGGACTGACTACATCAAACTCACTACTACAACTTCAAGCTTGAGGGACTGACTACATCAAACTCACTACTACAACCTCTCCTCACTTAGTGACGTACTCATTTACCAATGACTCGGCCTTATGATGGGCTCTCTGACCAGTATACATTCCTAAATAATGTATATTAGAGCTAATTTCCTCTATATTACAATATACAGTACACTACTATGTAAACATTTAAAAATATATTAAAAATGTTATAAATGGTACAAAGGTGACATTAAAACAATATCAAAGATGGTTGACACAAACTCACTACCATCATAGTATGCTCCTCACTTAGCGATGAATTCGTTTACTGACATGGTCTTAGGAACGGAACTCTGATGTTACGCGAGGAAAGGCCACACTTCAAAACTGAAGGACTGATCACCTCAGATCTACATCTCCATCACTTCCATTGTCACCTCTGTATTTCGACTCAGGAAGCCTGCCGAGCAGGATATTACTGTTATCTACAAATTACTATTGGTTTCGACTAATTTTCGTCCTTAAAGTGAGGTTCCTTGATACGAGTGAGAAGCTCCGGATCTAAGGAACTGAACCTGACTTCCTCTACCTCACACTAGATTGAACTTCATTACCTCCCATTCCCACAAGTTCTGCAGAAATACAAAATATAGCAAGTCTTCAACTTACGAACACGTTGAGAACCTTTTGTATTGTGAATAATATCATTACTGTGTATAACACTATTATACACAATACAAGTCACCAACGTGTTTGTAAGTTGAAGACTTCCTGTATTATGAATATTATACACGTGCTGTTTAAGTGTGAGCAAGGTAACAATTATGAAGGGATTCAGGGAAACCGGCAGGCCGGACTTGAGTCCTGGAGATGGGAAGTACAGTGCCTGCACTCTGAAGGAGGGGTGTTAATGTTGCAGTTTTATAACTGTAGTGTAAAGCATCCCTCTGGCAAGACAGTGGAGTGAATGATGATGAAAGTTTTTCTTTTTTGGGCCACCCTGCCCTGGTGGGAATCGGCCTATGTGTTAATAAAAAAAATATATACACAATTCAGAAGGCCCCAATGTGCTGGTAAGGTGAGGACTACGTGTGTAAGTTCATTTCAACATAATAAAATATTTATACAAAAAACGGTGATATTGGAGTGTATGTTGAAAACTCAGGGTTATGCGGAGAATTTGGGAAACCATCAATAATATATACATAGGTATGCCTAAGACTGTTGACAGATGTGGACAGTTACTGTAAGTCACACTGAAAGGTTACAAACACTTTTAGACTTTGTGGGAGAGTGGAACAAGAATGATAAATGCAGACAGGCCCTGCTTATACAGCAGGTTAGGTTCCAGGCTGCTTTAGGGCCCTGCTTATACAACAGGTTAGGTTCCAGGCTGCTGTAGAGCCCCGCTTATACAGCAGGTTAGGTTCCAGGCTGCTATAGGGCCTCGCTCATACAACAGGTTAGGTTCCGGGCTACTGTAGGGTCCCACTTATATAGCAGGTTAGGTTCCAGGCTATGGAAGAGCCTTGCTTATACAGCAAGTTAGGTTCTGGGCTACTGTAGGGCCGCACTTATACAGTAGGTTAGGTTCTGGGCTACTGTAGGGCCACACTTATACAGTAGGTTAGGTTCTGAGCTACTGTACTACCCTGCTTGTACAGCAGGTTAGGTTCCAGGCTGCTGCTGTAATGTGAAAATCACTATAAAGTGAAACAGCCTTTTTCACTTTCAAATGCATATAAAAGCCTGATAACATAACAGTATCACATGCATATACAGTACACACATTACTTACCTTAAAATATTTTCTTCCATAGAACGATTGCTAGCGCACTCGGCTCACACACTGAGGTCAGGGGATCTAATCCCCAGTACGGCCAGAAAACATTAGGACGTGTTTCCATGAGACATCTGCCATCCATTTTCACCCATTAGTATAAAATGGGTACCTGGGTGTTAGTGGACTGGTGTGGGTCGCATCCTAGGACAAAATTGCCCTAATTTGCGGGAAATGCTCAACATAACAAGGGGCTTTCTATATAGTATTATGTCACCGATGTCGGCTATGGTCTGTATACTTTGTACATGTACTTGTAAAAATAAAGATATTATTAGACGCTCCTCACTTAGCAACGTACTCGTTTACTGAAGTGGTCCTAGGAACGGAACTCCGTTAAGTGACGAGTATCTGTATTGTATTAATTATTATTATTATTATTATTACAGGTCCACAACCCTTTATCCGAAATTCTGCAACTGGAAGTTCCAAAAACCAAAGGTTTTCCGTGGAGTGTAGGGCGTCAGTCATCTCAGTGCTGGGTCACACCGCCATGTGGCTGCATTGAGAATCATTCTGAACTTCAAAAAATTCTGAAATTCGAAACAATACTGGCCCCAAGGGTTTCAGATAAAGGGATGTGGACCTGTATTATTATTCTTTCATTCAACACACCGGCCATATCCCACCAAGGCAGGGTGGCCCAAAAAGAAAAACGAAAGTTTCTCTTAAATTTAGTAATTTATACGGGAGAAAGGTTACTAGCCCCTTGCTCCCGGCATTTTAGTCACCTCTTACAACACACATGGCTTACGGAGGAAGAATTCTGTTCCACTTCTCCATGGAGATAAGAGGAAATAAACAAGAACAAGAACTAGAAAGAAAATAGAAGAATACCTAGAGGGGTGTGTATATATATGCTTGTACATGTGTGTGTAGTGTGACCTAAGTGCAAGTAGAAGTAGCAAGACATACCTGAAATCTTGCATGTTTATGAGACAGACAAAAGACACCAGCAATCCTACCATCATGTAAAACAATTACAGGTTTTCATTGTACACTCACCTGGCAGGACGGTAGTAACTCCCTGGGCGGTTGCTGTTTACCAACCTACTATTATTATTATTAGCTTATAATGAGTGATGAATATAGGAAGTCTGAATAAATGAAGAATGGGAATAATCGAAAGCCAGTGTATTAGCGAAGCGCTGTCAAATGGGGCCTGCCCATACAAGACCATTGCTAAATGTGGATGATTAGCTTGAGTCCCACAGAAAGGTCATTGATGTTGACTTCTATTTCAAAACCCCTGGCTCTCTGAAAGGCATAACTCAATCAAGCTGTAGGAGCCAAGCTGAAAGGATACTCTTAGGGTACGCTGGCAGGTGAGGCCACCAATAAACTCTGTGGAGAGCAGTTGCGTAATACTCAAAAAACACTCACTACATTTCAAAGCCCAGACTTCACAACAGCATGACCCCTTAGAGTTTAGCACTCCCCCACTTAATGACAGAGCTCTATTCCGAAGACCTCGTGGGTTATCAAATTCGTCACCAAGCTTATACAGTAGGTTAGGTTCCAGGCTACTGTAGGGCCCTGCTTATACAGCAGGTTAGGTTCCAGGCTACTGTAGGGCCCTGCTTATACAGCAGGTTAGGTTCTGGGTTACTGTAGGACCCCACTTATACAGTAGGTTAGGTTCTGAGCTACTGGAGGGCCTCACTTATACAGCAAGTAAAATTCCAGGCTACTGTAGGGCCCCACTTATACAGCAAGTTAGAGTCCAGGCTACTGTAATGCCCCACTTATAAAGCAGGTTAGGCTCCGGGCTACTGTAGGGTCTCCATTTATACAGCAGGTTAGGTTTTGGGTTGCTGTAGGGCCCCACTTATACAGCAGGTTAGGTTCCAGGCTACTGTAGGGTCCCATTTATGCAGCAGGTTAGGTTCTGGGTTGCTGTAGGGCCCCATTTATACAGTAGGTTAGGTTCCAGGCTACTGGGGGGTCTCGCTTATACAGCAAGTAAGGTTCCAGGCTACTGTAGGGCCCCACTTATACAGCAGGTTAGGTTCCAGGCTACTGTAGGGTCCCATTTATACAGCAGGTTAGGTTCTGGGTTGCTGTAGGGCCCCACTTATACAGTAGGTTAGGTTCCAGGCTACTGGAGGGCCTCGCTTATACAGCAAGTAAGGTTCCAGGCTACTGTAGGGTCCCATTTATACAGCAGGCTAGCTTCTGGGTTGCTGTAGGGCCCCACTTATACAGTAGGTTAGGTTCCAGGCTACTGTAGGGCCCCACTTATACAGCAGGTTAGGTTCCAGGCTATTGTAGGGTCCCATTTATACAGCAGGTTAGGTTCTGGGTTGCTGTAGGGCCCCACTTATACAGTAGGTTGGGCTCCAGGCTACTGTAGGGCCCCACTTATACAGCAGGTTAGGTTCCAGGCTACTGTAGGGTCCCATTTATACAGCAGGTTAGCTTCTGGGTTACTGTAGGGCCCCACTTATACAGCAGGTTAGGTTCCAGGCTACTGTAGGGTCCCCATTTATACAGCAGGTTAGGTTCTGGGTTGCTGTAGGGCCCCACTTATACAGCAGGTTAGGTTCCAGGCTACTGTAGGGTCCCCATTTATACAGCAGGTTAGGTTCTGGGTTGCTGTAGGGCCCCACTTATACAGTAGGTTAGGTTCCAGGCTACTGCTGGAAAGTGAAAAATCACTGTAAAGTGAACAGCCATTTTTTTTTCCCACTTTCAAATACATACAAAAGCCTGATAACATATTTACACTATCAAATATTAAATGAGTAACTGAGCTAGGCCTACAAAATGCTAATAATGAATGAATATATTTATTGTAGTAAGCGAGTAAATGAAGAATGAGTAACTGAAAATTGCTTCATTAGCAAAATGCTGTAAAGTGAAGCACTGTAAAATGACATTCTGTAAAATGAAACCCTCCTATTACTGAATAAAATAAACTGATTACATTTGTTACTAGAGGGTACACATCACCCACCTGTCAGCAACACGACGACAATGCCGCGGTGACACTTCTGGCTTAAAGTGATCACTCTTCAGCATGATGGCGTCATGCGCCGGGCTGCGGCTCGGGGGAGCAATGGTAATCTGGGTTCGGTAACTCACACACAAGAGCAGCGTAGACTCTGGGGTCGTCACTTGGCCGAGACGGGCCTGGATGGGGTTTTCGCCTGCGTAAGACCAACAAAATGTCAAAGAGGATAATACAGTAAGTCCTTTTCTCACAAACATGTTAAGAATCTTATGTACTGTGTTTAATATCATTATTATACACAATACAGAAGGTCCCAACGTGTTCCTTAGTTAGGTAAAAGGACACAAGTGCAACTAATGTGACATTTTATTGCGGCAACGTTTCGCTCTCCAGGAGCTTTATCAAGCCGTTACCTAACATATTGTCGGTAATTCTACCAACATTAATACAATCTGAATATTATATACATGTACTATTTAGAAAGTCCCCAATGTATTTGTAAGTTGAGGACTTACTGTGTACATAGAGCTGTATCCCTCCTGGTGCATATACACTGATTTAAATGTATTTTTTAGGGTATTAAAGTATTTTCAACTGGTGGTGAATAAGTGACATGCAGCAGATATGTTTTTACATTGACGGACAGTTTGTGGGTATGTGCTAAGTACAATATACAACAGCAGGAGGAGGAGATTGTAGCTCTTAGTTGTGAAAAACAAGTGAACAAGTGATGGTGACTGTTTACTCCAGTTGTCAAAAACAATTGAACAAGCAATGGTGACTCCTTCATGTACTAGGAAAACCTTGTATAACACGTGCCAAGATCAACACATTATTATGAAAAGCATTTTGGGCAGATCAACTGTAGTCCTTAAGCTCAAACATTTCTGCACATTAATAAAAGTTAATACTGAGTACAATGAGAAATACAGTAAACCCTCAATGTACTGGGCCTTGATATAACAGACTTCTCAAACAATGTACAAAATCCACTGGATAAATTGTACAGTGAAACCTCAGTTTTCGTATGCCCTGGTTTTCCTAAGATTCTGTTTTCGGCGACTTTTTTTATCTAAATTTTGTCCCAGTTTTCGTACATCCACTCGGTTTTCGTAGAGTTGACAATGGTTCATACCAAATGCGTCTGCCTGCCCGCGCCCACACAAAGCATTCTGACTCAGTCTGGCGTTGTTTCTCGTCGAGTGAACATTACCCTGAGCGTTCGGATAACATTTCATAATAATCCATTTTTTTTGTGCTTGTTTATTGAGTGTGACTGCTAAATAAGCCACCATGGGGCCAAAGAAAGTTCCGAGTGCCAGCCTTCAATAAAGAAGGCGAGAAACACAATATAATTCAAGAAAGAACTCGTAGCAAAGTACGACAGTGGCGTATGCATGGCTGATCTCGCCAGGCTGTACAGAAAGTCCACATCATCAATCAGTTCCACCCACATCATTAATCAGTTCCACCCTGGCGAAGAAAAAAAAATCAAGAAAGCTGATGTTGTGAAAGGGGTAAATGTGCTAACGAAACAGATCGCGAACAACCGAAGATGTGGAGAACTTCTTGTTGGTGTGGATCAACGAAAAACAATTAGCAGGAGATAGTGTTGTGGAGGCGATAATTTGCAAAAAGGTCAGGCAGTTGCATGCGGATCTCACAAAGGACATGTGTGCAAAGTAGAATGAGTTGCAAAGTTTTGAGGACAAATATCACTATAACAAAGCTGTTGCAAGCCAAGTCTGCAACACGATTACTGACAACGCCTTGTTTCATTTTAGGCAAATCTTAAAGAGACACCAGAAACAGACCTCTCTGGACAGATTTTTTGTGTGACAGGGGTCCAGTGACTCAAGCTGATCCTAGTGCCAGTAAAAGACAAAGAAGGGAAGTAACCCTGGATAGTGCCTTGATACCCAAAGTCCTTATGGAGGGGGATTCCCCTTCCAAACACTAACCTCTCCTCCTCCCTCTCCCCTCCTCGCTGTCTTCCATACGCCAGCTTGAGTCTTCAATAAAGGTAAAAGTGATGTTAGATTTTCATTTATCCATTTCATTAGTCCTTTATATTTATTTCTCATTGTTTTCTATATGTAAAACTATAGTTATTCTCTATAAAATGTAGTTTTTGTTAATATTTTTGGGTGTCTGGAACGGATTAATTGGTTTTACATTATTTCTTATGGGAAATATTGCTTCAGAGTTCGTACAATTCGGTTTTCGTCAGACTTTCTGGAACGAATTAACCACTAAAACCAATGTTCCACCGTACTTCTAATTAATTTAATTTCAAGATTTACTGTGGTATATGTGTACATTGTGTGTAGTACTGTGTTACATATACAATAAAGCACTTTTGTTTTGTTACTATTTTCAACCCTTAAACGGTCCAAACAGATCGACGTTCAAATTCGTAGCTACAAAAGTAGATCTACTTTTTTTACATATTTTCAAATATAACAAAAAAAAATGTAGATAAAAGTTTTTTTACACGTTTTCAAATGTAAAACAAAAAAGAAGATCTATATTTTTTTACATACTTTCAGATGTTGAAAAAACGTATATATACGTTTGGACCATTTAAGGGTTAAACATTCCAATTTAATTGACACTCGGATAATCCACCCTGTAAGTGTTATATCAATGGTTTACTGTATGAATGATGCCACTCACCAAGATATCAAGGGTCTACTGTATGCATGATGATACTCACCAAGATATCAAGGGTCTACTGTATGCATGATGATACTCACCAAGATATCAAGAGTCTACTGTATGCATGATGATACTCACCAAGATATCAAGAGTCTACTGTATGCATGATGCTACTCACCAAAATATCAAGGGTCTATCGTATGCATGACACCACTCACCAAGATATCAAGGGTCTACTGTATGCATGATGATACTCACCAAGATATCAAGGGTCTACTGTATGCATGATGATACTCACCAAGATATCAAGGGTCTACTGTATGCATGATGATACTCACCAAGATATCAAGGGTCTACTGTATGCATGACGCTACTCACCAAAATATCAAGGGTCTATCGTATGCATGACGCCACTCACCGAGACATTCGTAGTTTGGGTCACCGAGGTACACACGGTAACAGATGATGAAGGAGTCGGGCCCCTGTCTGAAGGCCAGTTTATATGCAGGAGTGATGCGAGTCACCGCCAGAAGCGACTTCAGTAACACCTGAACAGTCAGAAAACAAATGAATAACAAACTAAACAACTTTGCTACTGTAGCTACAGCACCGATATATACAGGTGCTGCTCAACTTAGGATGGTTCGACTTACTGTATTTCGACTTAATGATGGCGCAAATGCAATTACTACTTTGAAGATAAAACTTAATTACCCAGAATGAATGAAGCAAGTCTGTAATTTGTATTCATTTATGTATTTACTTTTATAGTAATTATCTGATTTACTTATTCAGTGACAGTACAGTGGACCCCCGGTTAACGATATTTTTTCACTCCATAAGTATGTTCAGGTGCCAGTACTGACCGAATTTATTCCCATAAGGAATATTGTGAAGTAGATTAGTCCATTTCAGACCCCCAAACATACACGTACAAACGCACTTACATAAATACACTTACATAATTGGTCGCATTCGGAGGTAATCGTTATGCGGGGGTCCACTGTAGTTATTTAACTCTCTATTTATCATATCGCATTTATATTCGACTTATGATATTCTTGATTTACGATGAGTTTGTTGGAACATAACCTCATTATAAGTCGAGCAGCACACGTATAAACAAATAACCTTCACACAGGAGACAAACTGATGATGATTTGGTCCAATTTTGACTATTAGTTAGTCACAGTGTGACTAGTGACATTAACTAGTCACAGCCTGACTAGTGACATTAACTAGTCACAGCCTGACTAGTGACATTAACTAGTCACAGCATGACTAGTGAAATTAACTAGTCACAGCCTGACTAGTGACATTAACTAGTCACAGTACGACTAGTGACATTAACTAGTCACAGTATGACTAGTGACATTAACTGGAGTTTACCTGGAGTTTACCTGGAGAGAGTTCCGGGGGTCAACGCCCCCGCGGCCCGGTCTGTGACCAGGCCTCCTGGTGGATCAGAGCCTGATCGAGCCTAACTAGTCACAGTATGACTAGTGACATTAACTAGTCACAGCGTGACTAGCTAAAGGTTCAAGGTGGACCAAAGTGTTGTCACAACTTTCACTAGCCTACGTACAGGTTACCTGTATGTTGCTCCAATCACAGTATTCGAATTTATTCTTTCCCTGTATTTACCAGTCATATAAGCCCGTGACTGGTTTCAAGAGATTTTCTACCCCTCACAGTCAGGCCTGGGGCCAGGAGATAGAGGTTGAAGAAGAAAAGTCAGCACACCAAGTTTACAACACACTCTACAAACCATACCACGGGCGGGATTTGAACCCGCGGTCAGAGAGTCTCAAAACTCCAGACAGTCGCGTTAGCCACTGGAGTTTTGAGACTCTCTGACCGCGGGTTCAAATCCCGCCCGTGGTATGGTTTGTTTGCAATTGTGTCATTACGATTTCCTGAGTCAATCTACAAAACCTGCTGAAACCCTTATATAAATGCTGCTACAATGTCTTCACAGTATACAATGTATTATTGTACTATGTGGCAGATGTTGCAAGTTTATGGAATAGGTGGTAAGTTACTAAATGCTGTAAAGAGCTTTTATGAGGATAGTGAAGCTCAGGTTAGGGTGTGTAGAAGAGAGGGAGAATACTTCCCGGTAAAAGTAGGTCTTAGACAGGGATGTGTAATGTCACCATGGTTGTTTAATATATTTATAGATGGGGTTGTAAAAGAAGTAAATGCTAGGGTGTTCAGGAGAGGGGTAGGATTAAATTATGGGGAATCAAATTCAAAATGGGAATTGACACAGTTACTTTTTGCTGATGATACTGTGCTTATGGGAGATTCTAAAGAAAAATTGCAAAGGTTAGTGGATGAGTTTGAGAATGTATGTAAAGGTAGAAAGTTGAAAGTGAACATAGAAAAGAGTAAGGTGATGAGGGTATCAAATGATTTAGATAAAGAAAAATTGGATATCAAATTGGGGAGGAGGAGTATGGAAGAAGTGAATGTTTTCAGATACAGTGGACCCCCGGTTAACGAACTTTTTTCATTCCAGTAGTATGTTCAGATGCCAGTACTGACCGAATTTTTTCCCATAAGGAATATTGTGAAGTAGATTAGTCCATTTCAGACCCACAAACATACATGTACAAACGCACTTACATAAACACACTTACATAATTGGTCGCATTTGGAGGTGTTCGTTAAGCGGGGGTCCACTGTACTTGGGAGTTGACGTGTCGGCGGATGGATTTATGAAGGATGAGGTTAATCATAGAATTGATGAGGGAAAAAAGGTGAGTGGTGCGTTGAGGTATATGTGGAGTCAAAAAACGTTATCTATGGAGGCAAAGAAGGGAATGTATGAAAGTATAGTAGTACCAACACTCTTATATGGGTGTGAAGCTTGGGTGGTAAATGCAGCAGCGAGGAGACGGTTGGAGGCAGTGGAGATGTCCTGTCTAAGGGCAATGTGTGGTGTAAATATTATGCAGAAAATTCGGAGTGTGGAAATTAGGAGAAGGTGTGGAGTTAATAAAAGCATTAGTCAGAGGGCAGAAGAGGGGTTGTTGAGGTGGTTTGGTCATTTAGAGAGAATGGATCAAAGTAGAATGACATGGAAAGCATATAAATCTATAGGGGAAGGAAGGCGGGGTAGGGGTCATCCTCGAAAGGGTTGGAAAGAGGGGGTAAAGGAGGTTTTGTGGGCGAGGGGCTTGGACTTCCAGCAAGCGTGCATGAGCGTGTTAGATAGGAGTGAATGGAGACGAATGATACTTGGGACCTGACGATCTGTTGGAGTGTGAGCAGGGTAATATTTAGTGAAGGGATTCAGGGAAACCGGTTATTTTCATATAGTCGGACTGAGTCCTGGAAATGGGAAGTACAATGCCTGCACTTTAAAGGAGGGGTTTGGGATATTGGCAGTTTGGAGGGATATGTTGTGTATCTTTATACGTATATGCTTCTAAACTGTTGTATTCTGGGCACCTCTGCAAAAACAGTGATAATGTGTGAGTGTGGTGAAAGTGTTGAATGATGATGAAAGTATTTTCTTTTTGGGGATTTTCTTTCTTTTTTGGGTCACCCTGCCTCGGTGGGAGACGACCAACTTGTTGGGAAAGAAAAAAAAAAAAAAAAAAAAAAAAAAAAAAAAAAAAAAAAAATAGCAATATTATCTTCCTGTCTAAATGTAATACCAACTACCATCAAATTCATTACATAACAACATTAGCAATATTATCTTCCTGTCTAAATGTAATACCAACTACCATCAAATTCATTACATAACACAATGTAAGAAAATTTCACTTCTGTGGTGTTTCTGGGAAATAAGCATCATTTCCCAATTCTTTATAAGTAAACAAAATTTACAAAAGCAATTTTGATCCTAGAACTTTACTTTTGTTGTCAGGACACTTCTGGAACACCTTCAAGAAAGACCGATGTAAAACTGTTATGTTCTAGGGTTTTGCTTGACAAATATAAAAACAGCGGCTCACAAACCAACATTCAGTTCAGCTCTGTCTACCCGAGAAGACACATCAGGAGAAGTGAAATGGCATGAAGAGGCGGCAATCATTCTCCAGATGCATTTTGCTACATATGTGGTCAATTCTCTAGGACAAGAGCAAAGAAGTTCTCTGTAACAACATCTAAAAAAAATGTGTGAAGCTTATAAAGCATATTTTGGTATGCCAGTTGTGGACCAAGACAAGACCTGGGCGCCTCATGTTGCTGTGAACATTGCAAGAAAACATTGGAAGGTAAGAAAGTCATTAGTTATTTATTTTATTTTTTTTTTATTATCACACCGGCCGATTCCCACCAAGGCAGGGTGGCCCGAAAAAGAAAAACTTTCACCATCATTCACTCCATCACTGTCTTGCCAGAAGGGTGCTTTACACTACAGTTTTTAAACTGCAACATTAACACCCCTCCTTCAGAGTGCAGGCACTGTACTTCCCATCTCCAGGACTCAAGTCCGGCCTGCCGGTTTCCCTGAATCCCTTCATAAATGTTACTTTGCTCACACTCCAACAGCACGTCAAGTATTAAAAACCATTTGTCTCCATTCACTCCTATCAAACACGCTCACGCATGCCTGCTGGAAGTCCAAGCCCCTCGCACACAAAACCTCCTTTACCCCCTCCCTCCAACCCTTCCTAGGCCGACCCCTACCCCGCCTTCCTTCCACTACAGACTGATACACTCTTGAAGTCATTCTGTTTCGCTCCATTCTCTCTACATGTCCGAACCACCTCAACAACCCTTCCTCAGCCCTCTGGACAACAGTTTTGGTAATCCCGCACCTCCTCCTAACTTCCAAACTACGAATTCTCTGCATTATATTCACACCACACATTGCCCTCAGACATGACATCTCCACTGCCTCCAGCCTTCTCCTCGCTGCAACATTCATCACCCACGCTTCACACCCATATAAGAGCGTTGGTAAAACTATACTCTCATACATTCCCCTCTTTGCCTCCAAGGACAAAGTTCTTTGTCTCCACAGACTCCTAAGTGCACCACTCACTCTTTTTCCCTCATCAATTCTATGTTCACCTCATCTTTCATAGACCCATCCGCTGACACGTCCACTCCCAAATATCTGAAAACGTTAAACCTCCTCCATACTCTCTCCCTCCAATCTGATATTCAATCTTTCATCACCTAATCTTTTTTTATCCTCAAACCTTACTCTTTCCTGTATTCCCCTTTAATTTTCTTCTTTTGCACACCCAAACCAAATTCATCCACCAATCTCTGCAACTTCTCTTCAGATCTCCCAAGAGCACAGTGTCATCAGCAAAGAGCAGCTGTGGGCAACTCCCCCTTTGTGTGTGATTCTTATCTTTTAACTCCACGCCTCTTGCCAAGACCCTCGCATTTACTTCTCTTACAACCCATCTATAAATATATTAAACAACCACGGTGGGCATCACACATCCTTGTCTAAGGCCTACTTTTACTGGGAAAAAATTTCCTCTTTCCTACATACCTAACTTGAGCCTCACTATCCTCGTAAAAACTCTTCACTGCTTTCAGTAACCTACCTCCTACACCATACACTTGCAAC